CCACAAAAAATGTGACATAGGATTTTTAGCATTAATAAATTTAGAAACTTCCAGAGCAGGAATATTTTTAGAGAATGAGTGAGAAATAATTTAATTTTTTGTACTATTTATACTCACAGTAAGCAAATACTCTTTCAATCTAGACCAGCCCTTTCAGTGAATAAGTTTAAAAAACTGATGCATTGAAATCTGAGTTTGTTCTCTTACACCAAATTTTTCCTTTACTTATTTTTCCTTAAGTCATGTGCTGGATTTTTGAAATTTCAAACCGAAAAATAAGAAATTAAGAATATTTTATGTGGTTGTGGATAACAATATCTAGAGACACTCTCACCATGAGAGTTAGACTTTAACAGCAGGGTTGATGAGGAGACTAAAACCAGCTGGTGGTCAAACATGTTAAACACAGAACCTATGAAAAAGTGACCATAGCAGAATACAATTATATAAATTCAATATTTTGGAAAATCACAAAAAATCATATATATATATATATATATATAGGTAAAATATATGTAGTGCCACTGATGCTGGTGGCTAGAGCACTTATTACCATCACTTTGTATGCAGCATTCTGTTAATTGCTCCTTGTTGTGTTATGCAGATCAAAACTCTGAATTTATGAATAATAACGACGACACCCCATCTTTTCAACACACACAAACCAGTCCCCAGCGCTGGAGCTGGGGCCTTGTGTTAATACAATCTGCCACTAGAGGATAGTGTTGCCATATGGCTATGCACACACGTTAGGAACAACGAGTACATGAAATTGCTGTAAAGTTCAAGTTGCTTGTTTTCTAAAGCCGGGGGGGGAAAATTATGTTTCAATAAAGATTTTTTTCCCCTGAGAAGCCCTGAAGACTATATTTTTAATAAAAATTATAGAGTAAAATCACATTGCATAATTGTTTATTAGTTATTCTTAGTAATTTAACATGTAGCCTTAGTAATCTCTATTATGTTCTTTGTTTTCAAGGAAATTGGATTAATGCACCTTGGGGTGAGTGTGCTACCTGGGAATCTCTTGAAAGGACACAGCCTTGGTGCAGGGGTCTGACATAAAGCAGGTAACTGATTTCTTTTGTAGTGGTACTTGATATGAGTGAGAGTTACAGGTGTCAGACTTGAAAACTGACTGAGTGTTCTGAGCTGTAGGAGCCAGGTCAGGCCAGGCTTGGGAATACTCACTTATGGCAATAGCAGGGAATCAGAAACTCACTCCTTACACATTACTGACACCTTCACCTCAGCAAAGCAGAGATAGATCAGCCGCAGATTTTAATTAAAATGTGCAGATCACACTTAGGAGAAAAACCTGTGCAAGTTTCAGGAATAGGCTGTATTAAATAAAAAGTCACAGTGAATTGCTGCCATCAGGAATAAGAAAGGAAAGGACGAGATACTGTCTCAGTCATCCCCCACAGTTCTACCTGACACACCACAAGTTTCTCAATGTTCAAAATAAGAATTCTAATTTCAATGAGACAAAAATCAAAATCTAACTTCAGTCTGGTGATGATATGGAGAGATATTCTTCCATGAAGAGGGCCAGGATACATTTTACATACATGTTTTCAGCATACATGAGCAGAACCTTCAACTCATTTGGACCTATGATGACCTTATGACGTTATTTTACACAATGAACACCACACCCTTCAGAACCAGAGAGCATTTCGTCTTCATGTTTCTTAAGTGCTCACAATTTACATTACTAACACAACAATACTTAAATAAGGTGTCGATTTACTGAGTTATTTTGTATTACTTTAATTTTTAAAGTCCATAGAGTCAGGAATTGTTAATATTTGGAGAAGGAAAACAACAGTACATGTGGCTTAGAAAACGCAACCTATGAGAGAGATGAAGAATCTGAGAGTGCAGAACTTTAGTTCTCTTTCTACAAGAAAAAGGCAGTCATAAAAAGAGGATCATTTATTGCTCAATGTATTCACTAGAAGGAGGACTGGAAGAAGCACAGGAAATATTAGTTAAATATTGAAAATAATTAAAATATACATAGCGATAATTCTGCCAAGCAGTAGAATTAGACTCACCAAGAAGGCTGTAAAATCTCTACCAAAGGTTTTCAGTAAATTTAAGAGTGTTTGTCATATATTATTCAGGAGAAAAATACTGACAAGAGTCATAAGTTATCATGGATCATCTCTTCAGGCATATTCCACCTTTCATACGTATTTGTAATTCTTGTATGATCCTAAACTGTTGCAAGACAAAAATTTCTAATCATTTGCAATCTTAGTAAAATCAATAAAAACTGGGAAAATGGTATTGTGTCTGACAGGTCCACTCATGTTGTTAGCAATAGTAATATGGCACTTTTAGGAAAAGGGATCTGAACTAGGTATATACAAAAGCTATTAATAATTAAGAAAAATCTGTCCCCATTGTTGATGACGTTCTTTCAGTTGTGAACACATACTTAACACACTTTCTCCAAGCCCTTGTACAAAACCAACCATGTAAATAATTCCCTTCTCTTTTCTTAGCTACCAGTTCCTCAAGAATATTGAGCAACATCCAATCTTGGAAACTCTACTAACAATTTCTGAAAGTTTTTTCACAGTGCTGAAACCAGTCAGTAGAAAAAGTAAATAGTAACTACTAAAAACAAAAGAACCCAAATGCTTCAGCTTTGTCATGCCACAACTGAAGTATTCTTCTTTCAAATAGAGTTATTTAAATTCACTTATGAATATAATTTTTTTAGGTGTTCTTAATTTAAAATTAAGCAAATTTGAGTAATTTTGAACCCAGCGAACTCCAAAAACATTTAACAGGGATTTTTTTCCTGTGAACTGTTTCATTATGCATTATATTTCTCCAGCTATAATCTCCTTGCTGTGGTTGTTTTCATAAATGTATTTTACCCCCATTTTAGCAAACTTTTGTATTAACATCTTAATAATCAAGCTTTACACTTTATTGTTTGAGAGGATATTTAAACAATAAAATTCTGTGTGTGATCTCTGTATTCTAAAGAAATCCACCAAATCTATCAGATCTTCTATACTATGAACTGCTTCTTTCAGAGAAGAGTTTGGGTTTTTTGGCTATGACTCCTGAAACTGGTTTTAAGTTGCAGTTCTCATTTTCTTACAAATTAATTTTATTTTCCTTGAAACATTTTCAACAGCTATTTAATTGCATACAATGTCAGAACATGTGTCCTGGGTTGCTCAATTAAATCATTGTTATTACTATTACATAATGTTATTATATCTGCACTAACAAGGTGTTTGGCTGTAGGTATGAGTGTTCAGGCACATTCAGTTTTGCTTTTAAATGTACACGATTAAGCAACTGTGAGTAGATAACTGCTGGCAAATGATCTTTATAGAAATGGCCAAGAGCTTTCATAAAAAAAGAAGTTCAAATGCATGGTCAACGAAGATACTAAACTCTGATCTATGAAGTATTTTAATCAGCATTAAGTGGGGTTTTTGGGCAAGGAGACCTGAATTTCAGATTCTAGACTATGACCACTCACACATTACCAAGGGTCATCAGTATGATTATTCTTTAAATTTAATCAGCAAGTCACAGAGATATTAAGAAATTATTTTCTCTCATATCTCCCCTTTCAATCTCTTGACTTTTGTGATATGGCTATGAAATATTCTCCAATTGCCAGTGACTGTGGAGGACCTGGATTTTTAATGTCAGAGTTGCAGCTGGCTTTTGTAATTCAGACACTTTTTGCATAACCTAAATAATAAAAACAAGAATGTTTCATATTCCACCATAACACCCATTTCATCATTAATATAAGGGCTGTATCTGAAGCTGAGTTTGAACTCAGGAATTTACTCATGCCACTGAGTCAAGCAAGGATGTGACCAATGAGTTACAGTGCTCAAAGTGGTGCAGTAGATGTGGCAATACTGATACTAGCAAAAATGAGACACAATTTGTCCCACTTGAAGAATAGCAATAAATAAGACTGCAAGAATATTCCCATCTAAACCAATTTAGGATTGCACCTGTTTATCTACATAACCTCTTTAGAGTTTCTTACAGAAAGATGAATACCAGGAACAGAAAAGGCCTGGATGCTGGTCCTTGTCCTGAAGGTTAAAACCAAAATGAGCCATCAGACCAGCAAGGAGAGCAGTCTGCAGTGAATCCTTAGAGATGCTGTAATTCATGCTGTCAGTAACCTGCCAGGCACTGGTTGCCATAGCTATAGCTCCTCTGTCCCTGTGTACTGCAGTAACACAATCTCAAAGCCACAAAGGCATTAAACCTACAGAGATCTGTGGCAGAGGTAAACAGCCAAGCCTTTGGTGGTTTTGGCAGGTCATAATATCTAATATTAAAATTAATTTTTAAAAAATAATAGTCTAAAAAGAACTTTTATTTTGCAAATGTCTTAGATCAAGGATGAAACCTGCATGCCATTTTCTCCCAGGCACATAATTATTTTCTAAGTGTATACAAACCACCCTTTGTAAGGGAAAAAAAAAGATCAATACTTAGAAAAAAAACAACACTTCCAGAGACATTAAAAACTTAACAGCTAATACAATCTTGTTTTGGCTGGAGGCTTTAATCTGACACTTTTCAGACCATATTGTTCATCAATTTAAAAACTAAACAGCTCCTCCAAATGATAAAACTGTAAATTATGGGTTTGAATGGCTTAAGCTCTAATGCAATAATTGTATTGTGCTTGGTGAAACTGTCAATTAAAAATGTTAAAACAATGTTCAAAAGAAACAAAATTCTCTAGATATTTCTGGCTATTTTTCTAGCACTGACTTTTCAACAGAGCTGCATCAATCTATGTCAGCATTCCTCTTAAGTCTAAAGCATTGCATTACTTGTTTCATAGCATTAAATGATTTATATTATCAAGCACTAGATTGGTTGTTATAGTTATAATAATAATATTATACAAGTTACTTTTCTTTTTTCACACTCCCTGTTTTGGAAAACTATTTTGAAACAGTGATAAAACTTACTAATGTAGTATAGATTCTTATGAAAAAACTAAGCAAACTCATACTCCTAGATCAATTCTAATTTCAAGTCATATGCTTTAATTCCTTTTATCCCCCAAAACAGAAAATACAAAAGATCTTGCCATGGCTACTAAGGAGATCCTGGAGCTCAGAAGATAAATAATGCTGCTATAGCTCATGCTGGAAGAACTAACAGCAACATAAAAGCTAGAGCACATTCCACAAATACATTATTAATGATGTTTTCTTCTCCAATCAGCAGATGGCCACTGAACAGCTCAAGTGACTGGTAATGGGATACTCAGCTTTTCATCTCCAAGTATCTGCGTCAGGTCTGTCTCGAGTGGGTTGTAGCTGAAAGGTACAATTTGACAGGCATTCAACAGCAAAAATGTGATAGCCAGGCTCAGTCTAGAGACTCTGCTTTTCCTGTGCAATCTGGTTAACAAAGCTGCCATGTCCTTTTCAAACTCAGGGTTGAGTAGGCCAGGAGACTTGATTATCCTTTTACATCTAAAGGGTCAGCCCAGCAAAACAGTTTTGAAACCCAGGTGCAAGTGGGACAATGGACTCAGTGGTCAGTTTCCTTTAGTGTCCATCAGGTGTTTTTTTCAATTGCTAGATTAACTTTTAAACACACAAACAAACAAATAAAAAGACAACAAGAACAAAAAAAAAAAACTGAGATGAAGGGGGAAAAAAAGTAGTGTAATGAGACAAACTACTGTTTTCACAAAGTTTTGCATGAAGGATGTGACGTGTTCTTCTGCACACTCAAGGCACAACATTTTTCATATGGATACAGTATGGATGCAAAACATCTGTACTGTCAAAAAAAGAATTAGTAAATTGATAAAATCAAGGGACTGTAACTCCCTTCTGCAGGATACCTGGCATCTGCTGTTCTCAACTAAACTCATTATGTTCAGCAATTTCCATGAGCTTTGAATTTATTAGAGGTTTTTTATAACCACACTTAGGTTTTCAGGGAATCCAACTGAAATTCAAGGGATTTCAATACAGACTCAAAGGCTGCCTTCATTACCTTGAATCTGATAGAAAAATTAGTCATAATGTAGAAGCCTTCTTCTTGTGAAAAGAAAATGACCATCCAGGTATACTTGGAGTAAGCCTAGAAACAGACATCTTAAACATAATTAATCAGTCAATTTCAAGCATAAGGTCAGTATCATGAAATGTTTTTTTATGATAATATTTTTGAAAATGCATCAGGAATGAAAGGGAATTCTACATGTAAAAGTGCTGCAGACACCTAGGAGTCGGTGATAAGAGTTGTTGAGTCAAAATTCTTAAAAATACAACTTTGTTACCTCCTTGACATCCTCAGAAATTATGGTTTCTTTCATGTCAGTACAGAACATGAAGACAGGTGCTAAAGACTGCTGTCTGACAGGATTGAATCCCTTAGGTTAAAGGTGGCTAAACACATAATTTAAATTATGTGTATAATTTCTTATTCATTAACTCTGTATACCTACAAAAACTGATTACAATCATACCTCAACATAACAATTGAAATTCAGTTTGTACTTAAAGCTACTGGTCATCACTGTTGTTAGAAACACAGTCCAGATTGCCTTCTTCCTTATTCTAGGCACTGTAAAGACAAATTGCCATAAAGATAGACAAGAGAGATAAAAGATGTGAAAAAGAAAAAGAAACACAGAGATTAACTTGCCAAAATCACACTGCAAATTAATGGTCAAATTAAGAATAGAATTCAGATCATTCAAACTCCAGTCTGTTGCTGAGCTCACAGAGTATTCCCTCAGGCTTTTTCTAAGACATTTTTATTAGCCATCAGTGTTTACCGACACTAATTAATGTTAGACCATAAAAAGACCTTTTAAACATGAAGCATCTGAGTTTACTATCTATCAAAATACCACTTCCTCTGTAACATTTACAAAATAATCAAGTTGACTAGGAGGCTCCTGAACGTTCTTACTGCACAAATGTATTTAAGGTTTTCAGTCAAGCCTATGAGAGCCTTTTGGGCCAGCTGATGCCTCACCCTCTTCTGCAGCCAAGAGCACGCACAGGAGTGCAAGGGGCAGCACCAGGTGATGGAATTTATCCTTCAGGCCAAGCAGCACTGGTCTAGACACAGCTGAGAAGCCTGGAAAGGCACCATCAAAGCTTGAACACTCATGGCAGTGACTAGCGAGCCTTTGCATCCCTCATCTTATGCATACTTAATAAATTTTACTATTTACTTGCTCAGCTTTTGGTCACTTCCCCCTCGTTCTGGTTTCTAAGCTACAACTTATGCATATAGGTAATTTAGCATTTAATTCAACAATACCATATATGGAGCATACTGCATGGGAAAGACATAGCTAAACCAGATATTTCTGTGAAAATTACATTTCCTTACTGGTATTTCAGTTACAGTTCTACAATGCTTCAGCCTGGAATTAAAACCCCTGGTTGGGTTCATAATACAACTAAATAAATAAAGAAATCTTTAAAGATTTGACATTAATTCATCTAGTTTCTGGCATTCTAGATAAATATTAAAACACCATGACATATTTAGCAGAATGAAAATTCAAATGCATGTTGGTGCTGTCAGAAAACTTGAGGTGATGAGTTGGATTTTTATATAAATGTGTGTAAAGAAACCTTTATTTATATATCTTATGTACCTTATCTCGTTTCTGTACACATTTTATTTACCTTATTACCATTATCCTCTTTACATATATGAAAGAAGCTTTAAATGTAAAGTGCCTTGGGAATTATGAACAGCCACTTACCAATATGTTTCTTTTCTCTGCTAACAACAGGGATTTTTCATTTCAATTTATATTAAAAGGCAGATAACTTTAGTTCAAATGCCTTTTAACTCTTCCTTAAAAAAAAAAAAAAAAAAAAAAAAAAAAAAAAAAGATTACATAAGGAAATCTGGGCATTTAGTCTATAAATCAGAGAACACAAGACAGGCAAAGGGCTGCCCATAAAACCATCTTGATAGCCCCAGTGAAAAAAGAGAAGAACAGCTTTCACAATTAGTCCCTGAATCATGTTACAAGTGTATGGAATGCTTCCCTGAACAGCCAAGAAATGTATGAACCTAGAATCCTCAGATAAAACTGAAAATAAATACATGAGAGTAGCAATAAAAGCAAAAGCAGACAACATACAGCATGCTGGAGAGACCAGAGCTGGTTTGAAAAATTAAACTCTAGGAGAAGAGTTGTAATTAATCAGCTGTGCTGATACTGATACATGCCATTTTCACAGCAAAAACTGTGGACTGCAAAAGAGGAGCATAAAGTTAAAAAAACCCAAGAACCTCTGTGAAGGAAATGCATGAAATATAAAGATTATGTGTCATGATTCTGTGGAATGCATGCAGGAGAAAAATCCGTGTCAAAGGCCTTGTTTTATGACTTAGTAATTGTCTACCCAATACCTCTAATCAACTTCCTGATGTTCCAAAGAATTTCTAGCATACCTAAGAACTGATGATAAAATGTAAATATAACTCATATCTATGTCAAATTTCTGAAATAAATACCAAACATAAGATGCAAACGAATTTAATGTTGGGGCAAAGTTTGTACAGGCATACCAGACAGTCAGCACACAGCATGATATAAATACAGATGGAAGAGAAATCTGCAGTAAGTTGGTCTAACACTTCCTATTGTAAGACTCTGGTTTGAAATGCTTATAAGCTTTGCCAATGTTTAATTGCTCTGTCTAAATTCTTTCAGAATATCTGATTTTTTTAAATCCTTCAGTAAAAATGGAGCTGACACCTTCTAAAATGTGACTAAGCAAAAACATTCTGGTTTGATGAAGGTAATTTATTCTTAATGACTCTTATATTGAAATACTGAATTTAGAATTATGAATTTCTCAGACTAGACTGGAGCTCCTGGAGTGGGCCCAGCTGGAGGGTTCAAAGGTGATTAAGGGACTGGAGTGTCTCTTTTATGAGGAAATGGGTTGAGGTAGCTGGGCCTGTTTAGCCTCAGGAAGAGACAAGTAAGAAACAACCCCACCAATATGTGCACATATCTAAAGAGTGGTGCCAAGAGGATGGAGCCAGGCTCTCCTTGGTGGTGCCGAGCAACAGGACAAGAAGCAATGAGTGGAAACTGATGCACAGCAAGTTCCACCTGAACACGAGGAAGAAATTCTTTACTGTGCACTGACCATGCATTGGAGCAGATTGTCCAGAGAAGCTGTGGATTTTCTCTCACTGGAGCTACCCAAGAACCATCTGGATGCAGCTCTGTGCAATGTGCTCTAGGACAACCCTGCTTGAGCAGGGAGGTTGGACAAGATGAACCACTGTAGTCCTCTGAAACACAACCTATTCTATGATTCTATGGCTCAGGATTTTTACCAACCAGTAGAATCCACAGCTGAATTAGAAGCCAAGGATTCCATCACAATGCATAAGGAGATTGTGAGCACACCTGCAGTATCAGTTTGAATGACTGCCTGTTTTGTTCCAAGGTCCTCTTCATTAGCATTCACTTTGTGCACATGTTTGATTATTCCTGGAATACTCTCTGAATCAAAATAACAAGGCTTGCTCTTAGAAAAATTCTAGAAGCCATTCAGTGACTAGGTAGTTCTAGGAAAGGTATGAGAACAAAATCTCTTGGCCCAAACCTCCAACATTATTCTTGCAAGCCTTTGCCCAGCATGACCCTGTAACATGTCTCTCTGAAACATGGCATAGTAGGAGATAAGTGGTGTGTCAAAAGCATTTCTCCTTCCATCTTGGGTAAACAAAAAGATTTTGTTATTAAAGAACCTTTCAGAATTGTTCAGATGTCTCATATGCAAGGATAGACTTTAAAGTGCCCAGAGGGAATCAGTCTGGCAGAGGCCTCTAGGTTATCACAGCTTTTGAAGACAGGGAACCCTGACTGCAGGAGTTACCCTGCCTACCAAAACAGACCTGGTGAGGCTGCTTCATACTGAGGGATTTTGGTGCAGATCCAGGCAACGATACTTAAACCCAAATTTCATCCTTCCTAAGAGCTGGCCTGATCACAGGATCTGAGCACAGCAGAAGAGCAATGTCTGTGCCACGCATGCAGAGAGGCTGTGGAGGCCTGCAGAGCTCTGTCAGATCCCTGCAAAACTCTCTGAGATCCCTGCAGAGCTCTGTCAGATCCCTGCAGCTCTGTCAGATCCCTGCAGCTCTCTCTAAGATCCCTGCAGCTCTGTCAGATCCCTGCAGAGCACTGTCAGATCCCTGCAGGCTCTGTCAGATCCCTGCAGCTCTCTCTAAGATCCCTGCAGCTCTGTCAGATCCCTGCAGCTCTGTCAGATCCCTGCAGCTCTCTGTAAGATCCCTGCAGCCCTCTGTAAGATCCCTGCAGAGCTCTCTGAGATCCCTGCAGCTCTGTCAGATCCCTGCAGCTCTGTGATCCCTGCAGCTGTCAGATCCCTGCAGCTCTGTCAGATCCCTGCAGCTCTGTCAGATCCCTGCAGCTCTCTCTAAGATCCCTGCAGAGCCTGCTCGGTGCAGCGGCAGGCAGCCTGCCCTAGGGGGAGCGAACCAAAAGCGCTGCTGGTGGAAGCTGCTCCTCGCATTCTGACAAGGCAGCACGGATTGCTCCTGAAAATCAGAAATCCAGGGTATCCATCATTTCAGGAGATGGACACTCCTGTGCACACGCAGACACGGAGCCTCCGGAGTCCACAAACTCATGGCACTTGCAGGGTTAAGTCCTGAGCATGCCTTCTGTGTGTGTCTTTCAACTCTTCCCACACTGAGATAAAAATATACGGCTATATTAGCTATGACCAATCCTAAAAACGGCAGAAAAAAGATCTGAAGTGTAGAAGGAGAAAATCTTGTATGGCATCAACAGGAGGTACAATTAATTGGATGTCTTCATTCATTCTATAAATACCAACTTAAATATGATAAAAATGAAAATGTAGGAGTTTTAGCTGCAGTCACCTTTATGTTACTAGTCTCACTCATCTGATACAAAATTAATCTTTCCTTTGATATCGTGTGGGAAGAAGGAATGTTAGTACATGTATGGGAACATTGTATTTAATGCAGCAAAATCCTGGAATGAACAAAGACTGCTAAAAATTGCACCAAAACACACCATAAAAATACTAAATTTGGACATGAAAAAGAAATGAACTATCAAAAATAAATATGTCCCTTCTACCTTCTAAATGTTAGTCAGATTAAATTTCCTAAATTTCAAACAGATTATTATATAATGTTTTCAAGTAATGCTTAACTCATTATAGAGACAAAAAAATAAACCCACAGAAATAGAGGAAATATGAAAACAGACATCCTAATTTATAAATGTCACAAACAGAGTTAACAGAGTTGCCTGTCTTTGAGGTTTTTTCCTGAAAAGATTCAAGTCCATGACGTACAGCAAAGTCTTGTTTTTAAGATCTTTTTATTTGCTTCACTGAGGCAGAAGAAGAGTACATCAAGAGATTTGTACAAAGTGTTTTAATGTTACTATTTTTGTAATTCCCATCTCTCTGGAATTTGGGTATCAGCACACAAATTCAGGCAGTCCTCATAGGAATTGGCATTCTGGATAAGACAAATGGTTCATCCGGCTTAATAGCCTGTCTTTTACTTTGATCATCCTCTGAATTCCCCAATGTAGGTCATTTTAATACTTAATAACCACTGTGGTAACTGTGGCCACAAGCAGATAAAAATGTTTTAACTTTCATTAGATATCATTAGATATTTTTGTGATATATTATTTGTCCAGAATACTTCTGAATCTCTGTATAGATGCTTGTCATGGTTTAATCCCAGTAGTCAGCTCAGCATCACACAGCTGCTTGCTCACTTACTCCCAGTGGAATAGGAGTGAGAATCAAAAGGGTAAAAATGGGAAACTTCATAGGTTGAGAAAAACACAGTCTAATGTTAATTAAAAGAAAATACACAAAGAAGAAAAGATTAAAAAAAACCCAAAACAATTGCTCACCACCAGCCAACAGATGCCCAGCCAGTCCCCAGGTAGTGCCAGCCTCAGCCAAGCTCCACACATCTCCATCCAGTTTTAGTGCTGAGCAAGACATCATAGAGTATGGGACAACCCTTGGGTCAGCTGGGGTCACTGTCCCAGTTGTGTCCCCTCCCAACCTCCTGTGTACTCACAGCTTCCTCATTGGTGGGGCAGTGTGAGGAGAAAAGGTCTTGAGGTTGTGTAATCACTGCTCAGCAATAACAAAAACACCCTTATGTTCTTAGCACTGTTTTCACCACAAATTCAAAGCTCATCTAGCACCATAGAAGCTACAAGGAAGAAAGGTAACTCTATCCCCGTTAAAACCAGTACGATGCCTTAGTAACATTCTGCATGAGTTGTCCATTCTCATTATTTATGTTTTTCAAGTTTATTTTAAAATTAAGTTGGCCCAAATAGAAATCCAGAATCCATGTGCTAGCTAATACTGAAAATTCTTAAAGCTAAGATCCAGATAGCATAATCAATCACACATGAAATTTTTTTCATTTTTTACTAGCCCAAATTTTCCAAACATACAGAGCAATATTACTACTAGAAGGCATCAAATATGATGCTACTACACATACATATATTAATTATGGTTCTGAAAATGTACCTCTGATTCTGTGTTAAGTGATGCCAATAATTGCCATTTGTAATTATGTGGTCACATAGAGGGCTAAAATATCATGTTGTTTAGATGCAAGAAGCTCCAAGCTCGACCTATTACTAATAACCTCAAGAGTCTGACTTTTATACAGCTGTGAATAAATTGTTTTGCAACCTTTACAATACTGCAGATTGTGACAGCAGGGCATCCAACACTAATGGATTTTAAAATAATTGAGAATTAAAGCTTTATCATTTA